TTGAAAAAGTGTTCAAAGAGTAACTTTTAGTGTGAGCTGGTCATCATGTGCTCAAATCTACTGGGGTCTTTTTATAAATAAGCATTACTAAAAGAGGATCCCTTTTTTTAGCCCATTTGCATGGGACATTTGCCCCATTTACACTAGCACCCTTCAGTTAAGCTTGGATCAGTTAACTATAGCGAACTTTGTTCATTTTCACATCACGCTAGCACGATTCCTTGCCTCCTATTGCGGACGATGACACTACAGTTCTCAGGGCGGGAATTATGCAAAGAAAAATAGTTGCCCCAAAACATTCAGGAACTTATGTGCTTCCATAGCATCCTCTGCCAAAATTTCAATGAGAGCCTCGGTCTCTGCATCCCAGGTCGCACCACACTCTTTTTATTCCATTTATAAGCTGAGAAGAAGTTAGTGCTGTGAACGGGTGAAGAGATCTGTGAATTGCAAAGCCTGACACGCTGGAAAACCTGTAAAATTAGTCAGCTGACTTTAAATAGGAGATGATGCAGTCTGCTCATGCAATCCTTGCTATCAGAGAACCAAGCCACAACTGAACTGTGCTAAGCCCTACTGTTGAGCTAGTTATAGATTTAGCAGGATTCAGTTGTCTCTGGCACAGTCCAGTTCAGCTGCATTCCATTTACACTCCACAGTTATCTCGGTTACCATGCACGGACTGTTCTTGGCACGGTTTCAGAAGGGTAGTGTAAGTGTAGAGTAAAAGCTGCATGGCTTGTAAAATGCTTTAATAATAAAAACCTAAAACATGTCTAAGCATCACCAAGGCATAGTGCTCATACCACTATGCATTCCCACTGTATTTAGATGTTGTGTTCAGAAAGCATATTGTTGCTATATTTTTAAAGACTAAGTCTACATTTTTACATATTTAAATTGTTGACCGTTTGTCTTTGTGAAATAGTTCAAGCTTGGTTTGGATGGATATTCAAGAACATCAGTTTCAGAATATTGCTTTAGGTTTTGGCCAGATGGTATACCTCCATACATAAACAGCTATAGTTCATTGCTTGTTTTGTCCTCTGGTACATTTAGAAGCCTCTTTGTGCAAAATAAGACAAAAATATAGACCATGCTGAAACCTGTACCCCTTATCAAGAGAGTAATTTTAAGCATAGTGAGAAGGTGTTCTCGAGAAACTTTAATCCTAAACTCAATGGTTTAAAATAGAAGTAATCACATGATAATATAGATTTAAGGTCCAGCTTTCTCTTTTGACACCACAAGTGTTCTGTTTCACCCAATCCTCCAGGCTCTAATGGCTAGTTACCAGTAAGTGAGCTTTGGACCCATGCAAGCGGTCATTGGGAAAGCAAAAGTGAAACACTTGACAATGGTAATGCGGTGGGGGGGTTGTGGGTGTACATCAACATTGGACGGAGCATTAAACAACTGTCAGAGATGCAGTCAGTGTCATTTGTCATATCTCCCTGGGGCTTTATGACAGGGCTGGAAGGGGCAGGCCAAGCTGCTGAACCACTCCTGTAGTCCCAGTAGATGCGTTTACCGCCATTCGCCATGACTGACCATCAGGCAGAAGCAGCTGAGCACCAGAATATCAATATGGTTCAGACTCGGCAGTTCCCCTTGGGACTATCTACCAAGGAAATATGGCTGTCCCTTTTCTCTGTACCAAAAGGAGAGCGAGTTTCACCACCAAGGAGAGCAAAAAAACATGGCAAAGCACAAGTTTTAAACTGACATATGGAAACCAAACACCTGAGGCAATAATTTCCAGTTTTGGTTGTTAAATGGAAAGGCAAAAAGTCATTTGAAATGCCTTCCGTGTCTTTCTTCTTTGTTTTTTGATTGGGGAGGGGTCTGTTTTGAAGAATCCATTTTGTGTCCATTATCCAGTGTCTTTCTCCTGTTGTTTTTTGATGCCTGAAGTTAATCCTCCAAGTGAATGACACAAGAGCACATTCAAACTAGCAGGTGCTTAGTGGAGGTGGTAGCTAAGCTGAGTTTTGATAAGACTTTGATTCAGCAGAATAATTCTTCTTAAAGCGATGAATCATTCAGTCCATGAGTAGACAAAGCCTCTTGTTGGCTGTAAAATTTGCCAGAGAATCTCACTCTGATGGCGGTGGATCAATTCACAGCTAGCTGTTGCAATTTAGTCCAATTCAACTTCCATTTATTTGCCCCATGAAACTGCATATCCTCCATGAGTGAATCTTAACAGCATTTTCATGAATAAATATATTAATTTTGTTTATTTAAAAATTATGTTACTACTGTAATTATGGTCTGTTGATTCTTAAAGAAAAAAACTGTTAAATTGTCCCCCCTAGTATGAGCTTAATTGAATATATATTCAATGATTTTTCAGGTCAATGTTGAGCACTTGGTGGATAGTATTGCCTCATTTAGGCCACCCTTCTCAAAAACTTGCCTGTGTAAACTTAAATAGGTCAGACCTGTCGCTGAATGAGTCATTTGATCCAAGCACTGCTTTATGGGGGTCTGAGCGCCCCTCAAACATTATAGCTAACTTAAGCTAAACGTTATTAGGCAACAAAACAGGTATGATTCTCTTTGATTTAATCTAGAGGGCCGAAATGTGGCCTTGTCTTTACAAATAAGTGCATCACTTCTCAGTCTGTTCATCCAAAATGATTTGATCCTAGATTCCAAAGCGTCCCCTGATGCCTAAAGTTAAAGTGTTCATTTTGAGCATTCTAAAAGTTTATGGCATCTGATCAACTTAAGCCCTGCTGCAGTTAGATGCATTTTATTATTCATAGAAGCACATTTTCTTATTGTAGACCAGGTGTATATTATAGAAATAAATTAATGCATGCTTGATATTAAATAATCTACTGTAGATACCAACTTCTGTAACATGCTAGATTATGACCAAAAATGCAAAATTGTCAACACTCCATGTTGACATGTTAATGCAATAGTCGATTCAACCCTTCGCCATTTCATATATTTGCAGTGTTGTTCTTTTTGTGTATGTTACAGTTAAATACTTTACAAAAGTCAGTGGGATGTCTCATATGACCCACGCTTTTATCCATTTCTGCCAGGAAAGATCTTGTAACTGCTTTAAAAACTGATTAAAGCACTTGGAGGTTTCCTACAGTATTGCCCCATTTCATACCACCACATTTCCATATGTTTCCATGCTATAAATTGACCCAGAGTCGATAAATTTGGAAGACTTGTTTATCAACATGAAGAAGTGCAAGTTATCCCTTGTTGGAAGTGAATAATGGGACCTAATTGAGCTGTAACATGCTGGCTGGTTGCCAGGCTCTTGAACTGAAAAACTCTCCCCATCAGAAGGATAGAGATGGTGCAGCTAAAACACTGCAGGACATGCTGACATAGAGGGGAATAATCTAATAGCTGAACTTGGATCAGGTTGCAGTTAAGTGAGAGGAAGTTGCAATTGCCTATAACTGCGATGTGTTTAGTTAAAGTGCACCTGAGCGGCCTTTTCTGTCAGCCAGAGCACAGCCGTGCTAAAGTCCGATTAATTCTCCAGAGAGGCTGCACAGCCTGTCTCCTGGCACCTGCCTTGCAAAGAACAGGCAAGAGGAAAAGAGGGGAGGATAAGGAGGAGGAAAAACCCAGCTGCCTCTGTGCCTGAGCCCCGTGCTGCTTTTAAAGCGGGAGGGAGAGCAGGGAGACTGCTGGCACCATCTGTACACGTCTTTTGTATTCCAGCCCTCGTCCTTACACAGAGTGAGGCTGGTGTGCTCAGTGTTTAAATGAAAGGATAGGAGGTGCCTTTTAGGGGGGCGGAGGGGGGTGATGCAGCACACTTGTGTGTCGATGCAGAAACTCAGCGTCAGAGGACATCTTGTGCCCTATTTATCTGTGCACTGTACACTGTTGGTAAAGCTCCTGCTGTGTTTGCAAGCAGCCATGTGTGGCCACATACCTGGGTTACCATGCTTGTGATAGCAGTCTTTAGATTTGGTTAGTTCAGCCCTCCTATCAACCCCATTAGCCCCGGTGACTCTTCTGTTAAAGACTTATTGAGCCCCATTTTAATGTGAAGGCAGTATGTGCAAATCAACCTATGTGAGCTGTGGATACAAGGACAACCTGAACAGTGTGCTGTCACACTGGTGTGGTTTATTTATTATTATTATTATGGCATGAACTGCAGTTAAAATCACTCTTCCCCACATCCACCCTCAAGCCTTGAAGTGGTGTGAATCACAGGGAGTGGAGGCTACCGTCCTTTCATAGGGAATGCGCTTTTTTAATGTTGCAGATATGAGCTACTTAACCAGAAGGAGGAAAGAAGACAAGGGACAGTTTTGTACATAAACATTTACTGCAGATGGAAAGAATATGATGGTCCAACAGACTGTGTCGGCTGTCAAAACGTGTGGTTGTTGGGACGGAAAAAACAGACTCAGACTGAACTCTAGTGGCCATGATGAGTAATTACAGCCATGATTTTTCCTTGAGCTAAAGTCTTTCATTATATTTCTTAATGTTGGAGAGATTTGGTTTTAACATCCTAAAGAACCTTTGAAATAATTATTTGTGGCTAGTTGTGATAAGACATCAGTTTAACTGATTGTGATATCCCTGTCATTAAACTGATAATGTAGTCCTCCTTACAGTACGTAAAGAAAGTATTCACGCCCCTGCAACCAAAAATGTCTTTGTATTTTATCTGATTTTATGGAACGAAAACAAAGGATTCAAGAATTTTTTTTCCCCCTAAAATTATATGTCTCAAAAATTTGCCGTGTATTTTGTATCCCTCCTCCTTTTTCCTTATAACCCCTAATAAAAATCAATCGCAGTATTTCGTTTCAGAAGTCCCCCAATAACGTAGAGTGGTTTAAAGACATTAGGCACAAACATAGAGGAAATAGCATAAGGGGTAAAATGACCAGTAGGTCTATATTTTACTAAGTAACCTGAGTGGTTTTATACAGAGGGTAATCCTATCATCTGAATAAATATGTGTGTTATAGTCTTTCCCTCTTCTCTCTCCTCAGCCCTGTTGTCCTCTTGGTGTGAGGAACTGGGACGCCTCCTCCTCCTCCGTCATCAGAAGAACAGGCAAAACGAGCCTCCGGGAAAAGTCCCCATGCAGCCCCCAATGGGCTCCATAAAACCAGGCCTCTCACACGGGTTGGTGTTTATATTGCTTTGCTTTTACTAGCAGTTTGCATTCAACATTAGTATTACCTGTGAAGCTGGATATGTGATGTGTTTGTGTCCTTCCTCCACAGAGATGGCTCTTTTCCATACGATTCAGTTCCCTGGCAGCAAAACACCAATCAGCCAGGTTCGGTGTCCGTGGTAACCACTGTCTGGGGCGTGACCAACACGTCACAGAGCCAGGTACAACTCTGTCCCTGTTGGAAGGACTTGAGCAAAATCTCATTTTATATTATCAAAACCTGACTTCATGTCATTTTCCAACAGGTGTTAGGGAATCCCATGGCCAACAATAACAATCCCATGAACCCTGGGGGTAATCCTTTGACCTCGGGGATGTCTGGTAGCAATCCAGGCATGAACTCTCCTCAGTTTCCTGGTCCACAGCAGCAGTTTCCAAACAAAGGCAACTCAAATCAAGGCTACATGCAGCAGGGTATGTACGGACGACCCAACTACCCGGGAGGTGGAGGTTACGGTGGCAAGTAAGTGGACAGCGACCTTTTTGATATTGTCTTATTTAGAAATGGTAACTTGTATTAAGTGGTATTATGGTTGCTTGTTGTTTAAGTTACCCTGGAGGGCCAAATGCTGGACCTGGTGGGATTGGGATCCCTCCTAACTCCCGTCCTCCGTCAGATTTCACCCAGCCAGCTGCTGCTGCTGCAGCCGCTGCAGTCGCCGCAGCTGCAGCCACTGCAACTGCCACTGCCACAGCAACTGTAGCAGCCTTGCAGGAGACCCAGAACAAGGACATGAACCAGTATGGACCGGTGAGACAAAGCATACTACTGAAGGCAACATTTAACTTAAATTTGGATTGTGTTTTTCATCCTAATTAGTCATGTGCGTAGGTACATTTCTATCACTACTGAGAGTCCTAGAACAAGGTACTAGAACAGTACTAAACCTAAATTCACTACATGAAGTGAATTTAGGTTTAGTACTGTAAAGGGAATTAAATTCCCCAAACGAGTCAAAGACCAAAACAACAAAAAGTCAGATAATGTTTTTGCTGAAGTCCAAACGTTACCTGCATGGTTGCTTGTTACAAAAACAGAACCCGTAAATTCAGTTCAGTATTATATAACTTCTAGAAAGTGACCTCTTGTCGGTTAGTGTGGGTTTGTTCATCCTGGAGACACTGGCATTTTTCATATTCAGCTGGATCACTACTGCATTAAAACTTAACTTGTTAGCTGTTTTCTGACCGTTTTAAATTAGGCATTTCAATACACAACACAATTTCTTCTAATACAAGCGCATTTAAATAAACCTTGCCGTGAACCTTGCGTTCACTGCCATTTTTGCTATCTTGCCTGCAGCTGAATCATGTAACTCCCATCCTCCATCCTACTAAACTTGTGTTTGGGTAGTAATGTGCTCTGTTAAGACCCAAAAGACACATCATAGAAGTCAGAGTTATTGCTGGTATTATATATACTATGAGATATATTCATATATACTATACTATGAAACATTAACAAGTTTATTTGCCCCTCCCGCAAAAAATAAAAATAAAAAAATAAATAAAATAAACTAACTTATAAACAAACTTCTCACTCACCTGTAGTGTTGATGTCATTTGCTGTTTGTGTGACATTGTCGCTTGCCAAACTGATAACAATCCTGCTGCTACAGAAACTCCGGGGAGCCAAAAATGCACTGTTGTAAAAAAAATCAATACAATTTTTTCCAAATTGTCCACAACTAAACAAATTTTATGAATTAATTAATTTAAGCCATCTTTTGCCAAGGCCTAAGAGGTTCCCTCTAAGTGTACTCAAAGCAACTTGGAAGTTTCATGAAGGTTTTTGAAAGTGGCCTTTATGTACCAGGTGTTAACCTGTAGTTCTAGGATGTCGCTTGGAAGTTCATTAAAAAGTTCTTAAAAGGTACAGGTAGTTCTTTCCCTTTTGGTTTTCAGATTTTAATGTCTTCCACAATTTATTTGAAAAATATAAATTCAAGGTGGTTGACTGAGACCATTTTGTTTTCCAGATGAGTTCATCTTTCCAGATGGGACCCAATCAGGCATACAACAGCCAGTTCATTAATCAGCCAGGACCCAGAGGCCCTCCATCTTTGCCTGGAAACATGGGTGCAGGCATGAATGCATCCAACATGAGTGGGTCTCCAATGGGAATGAACCAACCCAGAGGTCAAGGCATGGGGCCTTTTGGGGCCCATGGCCAAAGGATGCCCCAGCATGGCTACGCTGGAGCCAGGCCTCAGGGCATGGGTATGCAGGGCATGAAAAGGCCATACCTAGGAGAGGTGAGGGGATCTTTCAACACTTTCAACATTTATCTCAATTTTTCTGTTTAAATACATTTCTTATAATGTGTTCTCATCCTCAGCCAAACTATGGTGGGCAGCAGTATGGACCAAACAGCCAGTTCCCCAATCCGCAGGGGCAATACCCCACACCTAATGCCTCTAGACCACTGCCATCCCCCAGCTACCCCAGCCAGAGGATGCCAGGACAGCAGCTGCAAGGCCAATATCCCCCACATGGCGGCCCCATGGGCCAGTACTTTAAGGTGCTTTTTGCTCAATATGTGATGATTAACGGCCCAAACACAGAATGCAGTACTATAAATTGAATTTGTGTAATTACAGCAAGAGCCGCCATTCAATGGCCAAACAAATAACTTCTCTGGAAGTGGCTACCAGTATAACCAGGGTAACATGAATGGAGTAAGTGAGCTTTTATTCCAATTTCTAATTTTACTATCATGCTAATCTCTCTGGGAAAATCTGAGTTAAATAATTTTTTTTTTTTTGCTCAGCCTCCCAGACCAGTGGGCAACTACCCCCACTCCCCAGTGCCGGGCAACCCCACCCCTCCAATGACTCCAGGTAGTAACATCCCTCCATACCTGTCGCCAAACCAGGATGTGAAGCCACCCTTCCCTCCAGACATCAAACCAAATATCACTGCTCTCCCTCCTCCTCCTGGTCAGTAACTGAAATTTTTTTTTTTTAATTAGTCAAAAGAAGAGTACTGGATGTTTTTCATGATCCTATCTTATGTCTTTCTACTCTAATTTAGCCAACCACAATGAGGAACTACGGTTGACGTTTCCTGTGCGGGATGGTGTCGTCTTAGAGCCCTTCAGGCTGGAACATAACCTGGCTGTGAGCAACCATGTCTTCCACTTACGGCCCTCCGTACACCAAACACTCATGTGGAGGTAATACCCAGTGGTACTAAAAGACTCAATGAACAATTTTCTCTGTGCTGTTATCCTAATCCAGGTCTGGAAAAGACAAGTAGACTGGATTAGGATAAAAAAAAGAGTTATATATAGTTGGATTTAACATTTATCTATCAATAGTGCACTGACCAAATCCACATTTATTTGCTAAGTAACAAACAAATGTCAGTTTTAACTCTGGTTTAGTATTCAGACAGCTTTAAATTCAGGTGGCCCTCACCCATGATTCTTGACTGGATCTTAAATGTGTAGGCACTTTAAATAATTGTATCTTAAAGTTAAAACGATATTTCTTTAATCTTGATTACCCCATCCTACATGTTATAAGTATACCAGTAATATATTTATATTTGTAATAGCTGCGATTATAATAGTCTAGTATCCATAAAAGAAATAAATGGCCCTTTAACACAATCAAGAAATCTTTCCAAACTAATGCATTTTTTTTTTTCATTTTGAGGAACCAACAGATAATAAGAACACATTGCTTACCCATTTGCCCAGAACGTTATAGAAACATAGGAAATATTTTGTGAATTTAAGTGTGGAAGAGCATAAGATGTGTATGACATGCTGTTAATAAAACAAGAATTGCCATTTGTTGTTACTTCTGTCTGCAGGTCGGACCTGGAGCTACAGTTTAAATGTTACCACCACGAAGACCGTCAGATGAACACTAACTGGCCAGCATCTGTCCAAGTCAGTGTCAACGCCACACCGCTCACTATAGAGCGAGGTGACAACAAGACGTCGCACAAACCTTTGCACTTGAAACACGTGTGCCAGCCAGGAAGGAACACGATCCAGATCACTGTGACCGCCTGCTGCTGTGTAAGTAAAGTTGAATGCAGAATAAGCTAAAGAAAAGGTTTATGCATTAAAAATAAAACAAGAAATGTCTTTCAGATGAATCCGGATTATTTGAAAAGATCTTATTTCTCTCAAATAATGGATTTGCTCATAAAGAAATAAAAAAAGTCTAATTTGCATTTGTTCTCCTGTTCCTGGGGTTCCCAAACATCCTGTTTGAAACTCTTCATCTGGTTATAATGTTCATGTGAAAACTGCAACCACTTATACACAACAGTTAAATGGAAGATGTTTTAACCTCAATATACATCATACAGACATGGAGAAGTGACCATTACATTAAGCATCAGGATATAGTATATACTGACACTAAAATTGTTAGATAATTGTTGCTCTAGTGATTCTCCATTTACAAGATCCACACTTTGTTTTTAAATCTGAGGATATAATGTTGCATTTCTATATCGGACAAACAAAATACCAAATTTTTGCAAACCCAACAAAACAGTTTTGTTCAGGTACAGTGTCATAGAGTATTTTATATTGTTTTACCTTAAGGTTGTCATTAAAGAGATCAATTGTGTACCTTTTATTTATACTTTTATAAAAATTTTTTGGACATAACCAAGAACTCAACTATGGGATGTTTTGTACAAACCATGTTTCAGTTATTCCTCACCATAGTAAATTTTTGAGGTTTTTTGTTTTGTTTGTTTTTCTGATTTAAGTCCAATGAAGCAAAATTCATCTTAGTTTTATCTAAAGATATCAAACTGGGTTTCCCTTAGAATTATTTGGCATTGATTAGGATTTGACATTTGTCATTTTTTATGAGCTAAATGCCAGTAATTTGCAACAGAACCTGAATGAATTGAAATGTGGGCTCATTCATTCAAATGGTTATCCTGGTGTTCCTTTCTACAGTCGCACCTGTTCGTGCTGCAGCTGGTTCACAGGCCGTCAGTCCGCTCCGTCCTGCAGGGCCTCCTAAAGAAGAGGCTGCTGCCCGCAGAGCACTGCATCACCAAAGGTATATCTACACTTCTACAATTCGCACCTTAATTGACCGCACCTTTTCATTGTGCTTTTTGAGTTTATACACTTTATTTTCCTTCTACTTCCATCTTTAAAGTCAAGAGGAACTTCAGCAGCGTGGCCGCATCAACAGGGAACGCCACCCTCAACGGGGAGGATGGAGTCGAGCAAACAGCCATCAAGGTTTCCCTCAAATGTCCGATCACTTTCCGACGAATACAACTTCCAGCACGGGGGCATGACTGCAAACATGTACAGGTGAGACGGATGTGGTAAAACCTAATGAAAGCAAATGGGAGAAAATAAAATAATCTGAGACACGTGAATTGTTTCTTTTATCCAGTGTTTTGATTTGGAATCCTATCTACAACTGAACTGTGAGCGGGGGACGTGGCGGTGTCCTGTATGCAAGTATGTTTATCTTCTTTAAATCAACATCTTGATTATGCCTGTTTTCAGATGAAATTCCTCTAAACCTCTCTTATCTCTCTTCAGTAAAACAGCGTTGTTGGAAGGACTGGAAGTAGACCAGTACATGTGGGGAATCTTGAACGCCATTCAGAAGTAAGCAGATTCAACTACATTTTACATTATAAATGAGCTACCCTGATTTTTTGGGATCCCTGTCATTTGACTCTGACCACTCTCCACCAGCTCTGAGTTTGAGGAAGTCACAATCGACCCAACATGTAGTTGGCGGCCAGTGGCGATCAAATCTGATATCCACATTAAAGAGGATCCAGACGGGCCGCTGGCAAAGAGGTTTAAGACGATGAGTCCCAGTCAAATGATCATGCCCAACGTGATGGATATGATCGCTCAACTTGGCCCCGGACCCTCGCCGTACCTGTCAATGCCTTCTGGCCAAGGTGGCAACAACAGCGAATACGGCAGCCAAGGTAGTTGGGCTTCTAAAAATGATGTTATGTGAAACTCTTTTTAAATTTCGTTTTGTGTTTAGATTTGTTATTTGTGTGTTTAGGTAACAATTACCAAGGACCTGGGAGCTTTGAGTTCCCCCACAGCGCCCCAGGCGGTACGTCAATGAACGACTTCATGCACGGTCCTCAGCTGTCTCACCCACCCGACATACCGAATAGCCTGATGACACAAGACAAACCTCTATCCCACAACATGCCTGAATCAGTGAGTCTTCCAAACTTTTTTATCTTACCGGTAATTGAAGAATTCTAATAATTTTGTTAACTCTCTCTACAAGTTCTCAATCATAAGATATAAGTCATATGATATATGTCATAAGATATATACATTAATAACATTTTTTCACCACAGCGCATAGATTTGTGACCTGGTCTATATTTTTTGTTAGACCTGTGACATTCTAATCAGCATTTAAATTAATATAAACCAATAACATAAAATTTAACACTTTTTAAATCATTGTTTTATTGTGTAATGTGTTGCTGAAATTCTCTGTTATAATTAAGTTACAATCAGTAGTGTTTGTGATATGGGCAATATGACTTTCTGCCCGGTTCAGAACAGGAGGGGGCACTGAGAAAATAAGTTTCTCTCTTGGATGAAACCTTTGACATTTTTCTGCTGAGTAGAAGTAATGCTAACATTTTGGGGGTTGCTCATCTGCTTCACTTGGTTGATAGAAATTATTTCTGTTCTTCACCTAGAAAAAATTATGAAAGTACACTGCAAAAAATTTAAATCTCAAAAGTCCTTTTTCTTAAAATAAGTGCATTTTTTTTAATTAAGGAGGTAAATGAGACACTTTGCCAATGGAAAAAGGTCATTTATATTTAAAAAAAACAATTGCATTGTCTTATTTTAAGTGCATATTATCAGATTATCTTATTTTAAGATGAAAAAAACTCTTTCTATTGGCAAATAATCTTATTTACGTGCTCAAATTAAGGCTAAATACACTTCATTTAAGAAATGTTTACTTATTTCTAGATAGTTTTTGCTGGGTAAAAGTGGAAATATCCTGCTGTAAATAGGATAAAGGTTTGATTGCTATAATGGCTTTAAAGACTTTTACTTTAAGAACGAAATACAGTAGATGATATTCCACATTACTAGCAAATATTTAATTAATAAATATGAATGTAAAAAATTTTCAAAATTGTTACTAGTTTTATATTGTTTCATATGTTTTTATATAAGGTTAATGTGATAGTATTGCTATATTAACTAACAAGCAGCTGGCATGTCATATTCCTCATGTACCTCTTTGAATATCTCTACAGATACCTCATTCTGCTGGGCCTGACCAGACGCACGGCCCATTGCAGCAGAGCTTACATCCGTCTCCGCACCCCGGGAGCCAATCAGGGCAGCAGCTACACCACAGCGGGCCTCCTCAGGCCTCACGGCAAGCACCGCCGCCTCAGCAGCAGCAAGCACAGCAGCAACAGCCCACCTCCAACAACCATCCCCATTCTGACCTGGCCTTCAATCCATCCAGCAGTCTGGACAGCCAAGTGGGGTCAGACATGCCTGAGCCTTCATTAGAAGTGAGTCCTGGAAAAATCTGTGCTACTGGAGCATTTTTACATTTTGTTGCATTCTAACCACAAACTTTATTGTATTTCATTGGAATTGAATTTGAAATGCTAACACCATAGAATGGATTCCATCTGATTCATTAAGGCCTCTAAGGTTTGTTGGGAATACGAGTGAGTTATCACAGAGCTCGTGTTTAAATGTGATTAAAAGGGAGTTTCTCAGAGGAGTTACAGTTTTCTAAATACAATTTTATAATATGATTTTAATTTGTATGTATTTCACTTCCTTACTAACTTCCAGGCAACATACTTATGCTTTTTTCCTATTTGAGATGAAAAGCATAAAATGCCTTAGAGATAAAAGCTCAAACCAAAAGATTCAGTAAAATAGTTTTTACTTCATAATCAGTTATTGTACGTTCCAATTTTCGACAATCTTCAATACATTTGACTGAGAGGGGAACTCATGGTAAGAAAAATACCTGAAGGGGTAAACAAGTAAAATAAGGTTGAGAAACACTGATCTAGACTGACAGATTTAGATACGAAAGCAGTCGAGACAACCATGATTACTCTGAGGAGCAGAGATTCTCCACTAAAATGGGGAAATTTTCTGTACAACACCAACATTAGTGATGCATGTAAAGCTAACAGTGTGCACTGTAAATTCCGCAGTGTTAGATATGTAGTGTCAAAGTACATTGATTCTTTAAGAGTTATTCCAACAACAATTGGAGTAAGATATGCACTACGTAGCGTTCTAATTTAACGCTAATTCCAAGTGGGACCAAATGCACTCTTAAAGTGTTACTTTTACACTGCAAAATTTACTGTGTGCATCACTTTGAACCATCTCCAGGTAAGATAACTACAGGGCAACACTTGAAGCAAACCAGTTACAAGCTGTGAGAATTTAGAGCCAAAGGACAATAAACTTCGAACTAGACCTACATAGGAACTGTATCCATGTGTTAGAATGGTTCAGTCAAACCAGAGGGCCAAAATGCACTTTTGAGATTTGTATTCTTAAAATATATGAAAAATCATCAATTTGTGTTTTTCTATCACATAAATACATTTAAGTCTATGGGTAAATTGTGGAAAATCCAGTACTTTTGCTAAGCTATCTGGGTAATTCTTGCAATCTCTGTTTTGTGTTTTGCAGCTTCTTCCTGACCTCGCTAACCCAGACGAACTGTTGTCATACCTGGATCCCCCAGATCTCCCCAGCAGCAGCAACGATGACCTTCTGTCACTCTTTGAAAACAACTGAGAGGCTTTCGGGCGCCCACACACTTAAACTTTTACTGATCGCCTGAGGCTTCCCTGAGAAACTGCCACAGTTACTCAGAACTCGATCAACACAAAGATGCACTCCCTTTCTCTTCTTCCTCTTGTACAATTTTCATTCGCCAGCACAGATTGACTGCAAAGAATCTCAAAAGAAACTTAAAGGACACGGCAGGATTTGGCGACACGCCCTACCAACTTCCTGCGATGATAACCTTGACTGTGCAGCTACGTATAGTTCATTTTATTTTTACACCACACGCGTGTACGTGTGCTCACCAATAACATGTTGTAGCATTTCTAAAATACTTTTTTTTTGTTTTCTTTTAAAGCTAAAAAATGAACTCACTGTATAAAGCGGGGAAAAAAATGAAAAGAAAAAAAAAAGCTCTCTGACCAGTGTGTGTTTTGTTTTGTAGTCTGAGAGGCCACAACTTCCTGGTGTCAGTGCTCCATTCCCTGGCTGGTCTGGTTCGTCCCACTGTTTTGTCCATCACTGAAAAGCACAAGAAATTTCAGCACTGCAAAAACAAACAACAAAAAAACCCTCTTTACAATAAGGAACAAGATCAGTTTTCTAGGAATTTGCTGCCAGCGTTTTAAAAAGTTTTTGGAACAGATTGGCTTCCATTTTGTCTACAGTAGTAATGTGTTCTTATTTCAGAAGCAGGGAGTATTTGTAGTCTATAATAACAGAAGGTATGCATTAATACCTGGTCTTCTAAACATCGAGTCCTCCTTTACAAATGAGGGATTTTATACACAATAGACGAAAAAAGAGATTGTAGTTCCTGCCATGTTATTTGCTTCCATCTGCTCTGCATGAGCCTTAATTTTCTGCATTTTTTTTGCAGTTTTCCATCTCTCCTACTAAAGAAGTTGTGCTGTTGAGGTTGTCTGTAAAGTGCATGTGTGCCAAGCCCTTTGTCAAATAGTGGTTCTCTCTTTGACAGATTACTTTGATTTTATTTAAGACAAACATGGTTTTTCTTTGATTTATTTTATCATCCTTCTCCATTTGCTGCATAATTAAGCTGTCTATCGTTCTTTTGAGAAACTGCTCACCAAAGCTAGAGGGAGAAAATGGAAATGTTTGTGTTTGCTCGGTCCTGTGTAAGACTGTGGGTGCATGGGTGTGTCTCATTCAGTTAGAATACCGTCGGAAAGTTCATTTATTCCAGCAATTTAAGTTAAAAGGTGAGACTTATATTTTCTATTCTTTTTTACTGTTAGTATTTCTTTTCTTTTAGATAACAAAGATCCCAAATTACTTTCTATCAGAAAAGCGTAAAATTGCATAAAAAAAACAAAAAAGAAACTAGACTTCTCAGAGAGTAAAATGAATATATTAATGGAAACTTGAGCAACTGCAGACTTAAAAAAAATTTAATTGTGATTTTTTTATAAATGGAGAATAACTCCATATAGACTGAGGCTAGAGTCAATGCTTTAAGAGCCACTGTACTCATTGTTAAAGTTCCCATCACAATAAGAGGTCTAACTCTTAAAATATTCTTCCAGCTTCGGTGTCTTAGAAGGATCAGCTTTTGAATCTACCATACTATTTCTATTATAGTGTCACTTTAAGCTTTATATTAAACATTACTCTAAGCTGGTAAAGATTCTCAGTCATCCAGGTCATAGTCTTTGCAAAAAAGTAAAAGAAAAGCTAAAAAACAAACCATTGGACTTTGTTTTCCAAGTTTAATGATGTTTTAGAAATAGAAGAAAGAATAGAAATTGAACATAATGGATCTCAGAATGGAGAAATTAACTCTCTGCATTTAACCCATCCCCTTGGGGAGCAGTGGGCTGCCTCTGTGCAGCGCCCAGGGAGCAGTGTGAGGTTGAGGGTCTTACTCAGAGAGCCAGAGTGCCGGCTGTGGGGATTGAACCGGATACTTGCAGCCTTCTCAGAGCATAAGAAAACTTTCTCAAATCTAAATATCTGGAGTAGCGTTTGAGTTCCAGATTTATAAAGTGGCCCAAATAAAAGGCTTGTTGTGGCTTAGAAAACATGCAAATAGAGCCGAAAAAGCAGCTCCACCCCTTAGTAATGGAGAGTCATTGTTGTTGGCCTGCAAAACCCGATACTAGTCCATGCATTTGAATCCCTTTTCAGAGGCATGGGCCTGTATTGGGTTTTACAAGCTAACAAAGACCTCAATGACTCGCCATTACTAGGGGGTGGACCTATTTTTTCAATTTGCATGTTTTCTAAGCCATTACAAGGCTACTCTTTGGGCCACTTTGTAAACCTGGAACTCAAACGCTACTCCAGATAATTTGAATTAAGAAAGCTTCCGGGATGGGAAGTGAAACATCTTCAAACTTGGAAAATAAAGTCCAGTGGATTTTTTTTTTTTTTTACTTTTTTGGAATATCTTTAAGCAAATTGTATTCCTTTTTTTAAATACTTGCAGTTATACAGTTAATTTTGTCGCAAATAATTGTTTATTCAACAGTTTAGAAAGTTTTGTGGAAAGAAAAAAAAGCATCATTCAATAGATAAGTCTTACTTTTTAGGTTGAATTACTGAAATACAAGAATTTTTTTAGATGCTATCCTAAAGTGAGGAGCTACGTCTGTATATTCTGTGAGACTCTGATTGTATGCGTGCGTGTTTGTACACAGGAGGTGATGGCGAGACAAGCAATGGTTTCTTCCATCGCTGCTGTGATTTTTAAAGCAGTATTGGTATAAACCATTTTGTTTTTCTGATTTCATGTTCGAGAAAAGTTGCTGTTCAGTATGCATATGTATTATTTTTTAAGAAATGCTATTGTACTGTAAATATCATTGTGAATATTTTTGTATCATCTCGATAATGTTTATCGTTGTCTGACCTAACCGCACGCGCTCGTCGTCAGAGCAACGTCTTCTTGCCTAGTTTCAAACATCTCATAAGCTACTCCCTGATGCACGTTGTCCTTTTTTTTTCTTTGTGCTCGAATTTCCTGCGTTGGCTTAAAGTTATTCTGTTCACATCTCTTTTCCCAAGTTGTCTGAAATCAAACTCACACTGAAGCAATACTTTCTTTTTACAAATTAATCCAAATCGATCTCTACTTCCTTATCATAATTTAAGTTAACATTTGTTCAGAGATACCTTTTTTTTATATGATATTTGGTATCAGCTGGCATTCAGTGTGACAATAATCTATGTGAATATCATGTTGCTAAATGTCCATACACCGTGGTATTTTAAAGATGTATCACAAGCATATTTTAAAGAAAAATTCCTGATATTGTTTATATTTTTGTTATAGAAAATGTGGCTTTTTTACGAAAAAGCATGAGACCATATGCATTTGTATCCCCCTCTTATTTGCTGTTTTTATTGTTTATTTTTCTCTTTGTTTTTGAGTAAATTATTTTTAATTGTTTTATTATGAATCTGTAAGGCTAGAAATCCAATTTCTTTCAGCTTGATAAACAAGAACTAAACATTATTTTCAAATGTGTACCTGTTCAAGCAACCAACAAGCAAACAAATAATTGTTAAATGCCTCATCTGTTAAAAATTTGTCATCATCTCTTAGTTTCTTCCCAATTTCATATTCAACATTGAAGGCAGCACCCCATCTGTTTAGTTGCACAATCACACCAAAAGGGCCATTTCTTTTGGGGGATGTTGTTAAGAAAAAAAAAACAAAACAAAAAAAGCAAATAAATAGAAAATAAAAAAAAAATAAAGAGAAGGAAGAAAGGGGCACATTCGTCAATCTGGCCTGAAAAGGCGCAGAGGGAAAGGCTTGTAAAATGTCCCAAGGATGTCTGTATATATGTAAATTAATATAGAGAGACAAGTGGACAGAAATGTATTCATTTTCCTTTGGGGATGTGCATTTGTTTCTTCTGAATAATAATAATAATGATAATAAAAAAGCTTGCAACACCTCTACTGGAAGTGGCTGACTATGAAATATCAAACATATTATTTTGTGTTTGGCAGTAATCTCAACATTTTACCCCCAACCCCTGTTTCTTTGTAAGATACTTTCCCCTTTTCTGTTTGGGACAACCGAGACAGCCATTTTTTAAATGTACTACTTAGTGTTCTAGTCTCACTGGCATACCCTAAGGTGCTCAAAATTAGAAATATACAAAATAAGGTTACAAACACAAATGACAAAAGCCAGCCGGCTGTTTAGGCAGATTATGGTGGAAGAGAGGGGTCCTAAGTTGTAACAAAAATCCATGATTTGTTTTAAAATTTTGATATGAATTGGAAAATGATACTAAGATAGGGTGATTCATGCAACATGGTCATCGTCTCTATGTTTGTACATTGTATGTACAATCATTTCATACTCCAAACTGGTCATAAAATAAAAGAAACTAATTGTGATTTTTAGTCTTGCAGAACTGTATGTAGTTAGATGATGTGACAGCCTAATATTTATCTAATAAATATGTATTCAGAAGACTTCTGCATGCCGCTGTGTCTCGTCTTTGCTTCCACCCCAAAAGAGTGGCTCGTTTAGGCATAAAATGGAAATTATGAGCATTGGATTTTATTGGTTATGGGTAAAGTTGTGCTTTAAAGTAAAAAAAAAAAAAGAATACATTTTATACACATTTTTAGCAAGAAAAAAAAAACAGAAAAAAAATAAATACAGCATTATTTACATTTGGCTTCTTCCCACAGTCCAAAAACATGACTGTTAGTATAAATTGCTTCTCTAAATTCTCCTTGTGTGTGCGTGAATGGTTGTTTGTCCTGTTCGTCTCTGTGTTGCCCTGCGATGGACTGGTGACACTGAGATGTACCCCACCTCTCGCCCATTGACAGCCGGAGATAGGCAACACTACCCCTAGTGACCCCAGCAGGGATAAGCGTGTCAAAAAATGGATGGATGGTTTAAATTAGAAATTATCACAACTAAACCTGTGATGATTGTAGATGAGCAGAAATAGTTTAACATGTGTCTTTTAGACGTGTGTTAAATACCATTACAAAACTAAATACTCAGAACAACAGGTATCAAATCCAAGACAATCGTTTCAGATGAAGTAATGGTACCTACATTCTAGGTTCCTCTTCCTATAAGCCTGAGTGCTACAGGAGAACCATGAGTTATCAGCAACTAGAACAACTCTCAGAAGAAACTTGTATAATTTCTATTATGTTTAATGTTTCTTTAGGTTTAATAATAGAGTAATAAAAAGTAATAAAGTAATTTTGAAAATATTGTACAGCTGCAGAGTTACACAGCTGTCTTGCCTTAAGGAGGTCCTAAATTGGGTATTTCTGCATTTTATTTTGCCTGTTCTCCCCATCAAAGTGCTCGGTTCTCTGCAGGTATGGCGATTTGCTCCAACATGTCTTAAATAATTAAAGTTTAAATTGCCCTCAGAAACAAGTGTGTGTCAACACACTTGTGGTGTCTTTGTTTTTTGTTATTGTTTTTTTCTTTTTTCTCTGTGTTGCTCACTGATAGACTGTTCAGAGCACGGGTTGGCAAGCATGCGGCTCTTTCTGAACGGAACCGGTTCCTGTTCAGAATCGGTTCCTGTGTGTTTCAATTCCAGGAAACACTCTGTGCAGCTCGCTTAACAATTATTTTATCGATTCCAGGCAGCACCAGAGATCTTTGGGCAGCACGACTTACGTCACGTTTTTTACGCAAGTTGCACACACAGCATTTAGTACACAAGTAAGACATGACCAGGTGAGTACGGAAGAGAATTAGGGCCACTGAAAAAAATTTTTTAATTTTATTTCAGTTTAACATGGGGAAAAAAGTCAGAATTCTGACCTTTTTCTCAGAATTCTGACTTTAATCTCAGAATTCTGACTTTTTTCTCAGAATTCTGACTTT